AGCTGACTTGACTTAAAGGGGTCATATGATGCGAGTTCATGTTTTCCTTTGTCTTTGGAGTGCTAAAAGCTGTTTGTGCATACAGAAGATCTGTAAAGTCGCAAAGATTAAAGTCTCAAACCCAAAGAAATAGTCTTTATAAAAGTGAACGCTCAGCCACGTCTTCCTAAAACGCCTCGTTCAAACATGCCCCCACATGTCTCCGTCATGGTGTGGGAAAATTTGCATAACACCGCCCAAATGTATATGCAAAGAAAGAAGGCATAACTTTTATTCTCGCTGTATTGCCGCCGCCATATCGTGGAGACGCTGTGTTTCGTTTGCGAAAAGAGGACACAACTAGAAATCAGTGGTTAAGTTTTATTTACAACACTGTTCCAGAACAGTACAACCCAAATATTCGAGTGTGTGCAGTGCATTTTATGGAGGAAAGTTTCCTGAACCTGGTAAGGGGCGTAACATTTCCGTCACATGCTTGAGGTATTTGGCCAATCACAACGTACTAGATAGCTGGCCAATCAGAGTACACCACGCTTTTCAGAACGATAAGCTTTGTAAAAATCGATGCGTTTCAGAAAGGCGGGGCATAGAGGAGCAACAATAATGTACAGTATGTGGAAAATAATGTGTTATTTGAACCTTAAACCGCGTAAACACTGCATTACACCAAATACACAAAATAATGTTTTTTAGCAACGTCATATGACCCCTTTAATCAGCACTGTGTTGTATTTTCTCTTCCGCCATCGCTGTTCTGACTCAGAGGAAGCTCATTTGCTGCTCATATGTCACTCATATTACGCGTATCTATTATAGAGAATATTATATTATATATAATATATTGTTATATAGATCAGTGGTTTCTACCCCGTCGTCTTCCAATGACGAACTTACACTAGTGGATGGGTAAGCCATGTAACGCCAGAATAATGTCTGAATAAAAACAAAAGAATAATGAGGATTACGTTTCATAACCGTCCTGGTAGAGGTCGCAACGCAAAGAGGAGAAAATACTGTAGCAGTCAGAGCAGCTCACTGTTCACAAAATATGTGATCCTGAATATTGAATTGGGGTGGGGGTTTATATGAATGTATCTCTGAGAGGAACTGACTGTCTTCAGAAAAGTTTAGATGATATTTTCTTTTCATCTTTCCTCTGTATAATGCATATTAAAGTAGTGGTTAGTGCTGGGCGGTATACCGGTTCATACCGAATACCGGTGTTTATTTTTGTTATGATATGAATTTTTAAAATACTGCAATACCGGTGTATGTCGCTTAAACAACGTTCGAAACGCGACACTGTTTGAAAGGGGTCCCTTTTCACTGTTGCACTGTGTTGAGGGGAACAGCTGTATGTGTTAATAAGAGTGAAAGATCCGAAACTGAAGCTGTAGAACTAATAGAACGTGATGACACAGAAGAACTCATCCACAATATCCACATTGACCGCCACAAATATCCACCGCTCCCTGCCATCAGCTCCCACGTCTCACACACACACACAAGCGCGAATTTAGCACTAGATTTAGCAACTTTCAGACCCTTTTAGCGGCTTTTTCCCATAGAATATTCATGTGGTTATAACGCTGGGAAACACTGTATGGCTGTTGTTCCATAAGCGCCTCTTGCTGTCAGAATTTGCATTTTCATTTAGCCCGTCTGCTTGATAAAGCAGAAAGCTTAATAAATGTGATAAACCGTGAAACCGCCAGAATCCTAAAAAACAAAACAGGTGATACAGATTTTTGGTCAAACCGCCCAGCACTAGTCAGGTAACTATAGGTCTTTCACCAGTGGGAAATGTTTTAGCAGAAAGCAGCTCTGCCTCAGACTGCACTCTGTCTCTGTTTGGAGCCTGTAGGCGGGAATGAATGAATATGATCCGCCAGTTCATGATTTGGCTGCCTTCTTTTCTAGGGCATGAGAACATGTGGTTGTGTCATAGTAATTTTCAGAGTTTAAAGTCGTACCTCTTTACAAACAATCTGCCTTGACAATGGAATGAGCCCTGGAGGAAAATGCTTGCATTTCAGAGATGTTAAAAATAGCAAGTTTGTGGTTTAAAAGAGCCTTTCTTGAATTGTACACATTTTTAAACATTGTGATCTGTCACAAAGTGCTCAGTACTACATCCATAATTCTGAATGTTTCTGTGCGCAGAGCTAACAGCCAAATACTGATTGTTGTGAGAACTGTGCTTTTCAGAAAAAAAACCCACTTGTTAGCAAACCTTGTTAGCAATGATCCACAAATTAAATGAATGTTTACTGTTGCCTGTGTGGCATTAATCCCAAAGGAAGCAGCAAAATCTGTCAGAACTACCAGTTTAGATGAAATGACTAACAATATTTCTGGCTTCTCAAAGTGATCACATTTCATTATGTTTGATTTCTCTTGAGCCACTCAAATGAAAAACAGCAATGCCACAGTGTTTACACTTTAATCTTTGCAAGGAAGTAAAGAACCTATATGGTGTCTGCACATTAAACTGGTATCAACAAAGGGATCATTTGACTTCTTTTTTTTATTTGGTCAAACAGTTGTCATTTTTAAAAACAAGAAAATGGTTCAGAATGGTTGAGTATGCCATTTGATCGTCTACTTATAGAAACAGAGCGGTAGTGACTCTTTCCATTTTCAGTAGGATTTGATAAACAGAAATGTAAACACAACTTGTCTATAAGCCCACTACATGTTTGCATGCAGGAAGTCATGCAGCTGCTGGTGTGCTGACTGTCTATTGGCATGTCCAGCCTTTGCAAGTGGTAGTGGATCAAGGTGTCTCTTTAGAGATCAGCACAGATTTTTAGGCTTTCACACATTTATTGGGAAAAATTAACAATAAAAACTAAAACTGAGAATTTAATGCACTGCTGCATATGGAAAATGTTGAACAGGGGAACTAAAGAACTCTCAATGTTTAGTTTAATTTTAATGTAAAATAATGGAAAACAGTTTTTGGAGGTTGTAGTAATAATAACAGTGGGTGATCTTGACAGGAGAGGAAAAGCATAAGCTTAAGCAAGCTGCCCCAGGGAAATCCTCTGCTTCACTAAGCAGCTTGGTGCTGCTCCACAGCTGGGGTGTCATTGTTTTGATAACGGCGAACATTGAAAGGCTCGATGTGACACTCCATGACCCCTGAGTGTGTGCTGAGAGCGAGGATCTGTGCTTGTTTATTAACAAGCCCGTGTTTCTAAGCTGTCTGCCTGGAACAGTGTCAGCAATGGGTTTGAAGTAGCACTTTTCTTAGTGCTTTTAAACTGAGTGATGTGAGTGAGGTAATATTTTGTGTTGTGTTGTTGTTGTATGGCCAGTCTGTTTAAACACAATAATCTTGAGTGAGGTTATGTAAGTAGAGGCCAATGTGGGCAAAGCATGATATATGAATGTGTTTCTCCCATGTATGGCCAGTCTGTTTAAACACAATAATCTTGAGTGAGGTTATGTAAGTGGAGGCCAATGTGGGCAAAGCATGATATATGAATGTGTTTCTCCCATCTAAATAGGACTGTGCCATTCATTGAAGTAAAGTTGGCTTTTTAAATCATAAGTCAAATTGACCAAAAACATTGACGCACTTCACAGATTTTTGTCCAATCAAATGCTTCCTCTAAAACTACCTGTCACAGACTAGCAGAAAATGATGGTTCATTGTAACTAACGCTTGTTGGCTATTTTTTTTTAAACAAATACAATACAAGAAAGATACAAATTAAATAAATTACTTGAAATTTTTCAGATACAGTAGGTGTATTTAACAGCAGCATTCAAGTAAGAAATTAAATAACCAAATGTCTTCACTGTATGAATTAAGAATACAGTTCTTCAGCCAAGAGCAGTGATGATTTTCTCTTTTGTTTTGTTATTTAATTAACATTAAGGGCACAGACAGGAGCAGGTTTATTAAACTGCTGCCATTTTAAGATCTAATGTAATGAAGCACATCTGATTTTCTCCCAACTGTTTATATTCACTTAAGACATCACAGGCTTGTGTGTTTTTGTGAACCTTGTGTTTTTTTGACAGTTTAAGTGGAATAGGCACAATTACATTAATTTCCAACTTGACTGCATTAGACTTAATTGTGAGTGAAGAGTACACTGAGACCCTTTTTACAACCAAAAGAACCAAAATTCCACTCACAAGTTCAGGTACAGTGTGAGCGTGAAGAGAACTGGGTTCTTTTTGTCTTAGTTCACTTTTGGGTCAGTGAGAGAGCTCTGAGAGTTTAGACTTGTTTTTTTTTAAGAGAAGTGTGAACACCCTTAAAGTCTAAATGAAATTCCACTAAGTAAGAACACGTTATTGATCTAATTGTGAGCAATTAATCCATGTATATCTTTCATTTTACATTTCTTTTTGACCTTGTAATTTTTAATTATTTCTTGCGAGTATGTAGATTTTGCCTACCTTGTTTCTATTTGAATGTAATTTTTTGTCGTTATGCTTATTTTATTTCAGCGATGTGAGATATTTATTGAATTGCAATTCAAATGGCAATTCCAATATCTGTCAAAATGACTGCAATATAATTCAGATGATGCCAAATGTTTTTTGTTTTTTTTTTGCCAAAATTATACAGCTTTACAACTAAGCAGTATGTAGCTAAGGTTTTGTGCTCTGGCTTAAAAATATCAGTGTGTTGGATTAAAAAATGGACTTGAGCTTATGTGTAGTAACCCATTGATATCACTAAATGAGGTCAGTCTTTGAGATTCAAATTTTGTCCTTTGGTTAGTGGGAGGAAGGAACGCCTACTGATTTGCTTGTGCCTGATCAGAATTGATAATTTTCATTGTTTACCCTTGCTGCACAACAAAATCCACACTGTCCTCCAGCTTGGGCTCAGAAGTACACTTAAACCCAAACCCATTTCCAAGAATTAAATACATAAGTTACAAAAACAACTAAAACGCCTCGGCAGACTTTCTCTCTTCTTTCTTTTTCAAATGCATTTGAAAAAGTGTCTTCCTGTGTCTTCCTCTTGATTAAAGGTGCAGTTCCAGAAGATCCAGCAGCTCCGTCTGTCACAGAACCGGGCACAGTACTACGGTGGCTCGCTGCCCAACGTCAACCAAATAGGCAATGCAAGCACTGATTTCCAGGTACCTGGGTTGCCCTCCATCCACTTATCTAAGTCTACTAAATCTGTCCAGCAAGTCATGTTCATTTAGGAGAAGATAAGCCCCAGCCATATACTCAGTTTTTCTACACTCAGATAAACGATGTCAAGAGATGGTAATTGCAAACCTTCTCCTTAGAAAACAAAGAGTGTATTTGTCCCAACCTCTTAGTCTGCCCTTACTTCGCCTACTCCTTCAGTACACGGCTTTCCCCACAAGTACACCTGATACAGCAGTGCGCTCCAAGAGCCGAAGAACTGTATCTGTGTCTATCCCCTATGGAGAACAGTGTTGTATACCTTCAGGTGAAACCGCTCTTGTTGCTGTGAATAAAGCTTCCTTGAGACATAGAGCAGTGATCCCTACTTTTTGTCTGCCATGAGAAACCAAACCTAGAGAGGTAAAAGCACTTTGGAGTAGAGTGAATTCACCTGGGAACATAAGCTAATGGTGGCATATTGAAAACTTGTGTGTGTATTTTTTGTTTGTGTATTGTTGCGTGTTTTTTTCAGTCCTGCAATATGGACGCTCTGATGTCTTTTCACTAACCATTTTTGCTGTTTAAGTCATATATATGACAGATACCTGCATTTGTGAGGAAAATGTTAACCAAGAAGGTTTTTCTCCACAGGGGACTTTTCCCTCCGGACTGGACTCTGTGCGAGGGACCAGACACCATGGTCTGGTGGAGAGGGTTCATCGAGACCGCAATCGGATCAACTCACCACACTGCAGGCCCATCGACAAGCACGGGCGGCAGATATCCTTTAAGTTCACTACTGTAAAGACCTTTGTAGAGGAAAAAAGTGATCTGTGAGGGTCTTTGCTTACGCTAGTAGATGCAAAATTTTTATGAGCTCACAATGTTGTATGTGTCATACATGTTGACCTTTGCTCATGTGGGCAGCTTTTTTGAGGCTTCAGGCTGTGTGATGATCCTTTATGTATTAATATTCCCACTGCTGCACCGTGGGTGTGAATGAGTGGGTAACTGCAATAACCTGCTGTTTCTCCCCGCTTATGTTTGTTTTGTTTTTTTCTTCCTGTGAGAACTGTTTAGAGATTTGAATATCAGTACTCTGGTGTCCTCATTAGTGTGTATTGCGCATTCTGCCGCTAGTTCTACATTCATTCAGCACGCAGGTTGGTGAAATCACTGGCTACGCCGGCCCGGCCGGTCTTTTATCCTCCTCGGTTGTGTAGTCGATGGATTTCTTTCATCAATTTTTCAGTGGTTGTCTGTAAGCTGAATCGTCTGTGGGCTCAAAGATAATTTATGTCTGCAGATTTAGCTTAGTGCTAAAGATTAAATAAAAAATAAAAAGGCCCTAATGCCTTCTGAGTTGCCATACTGTTTTGAAGATGTGGAAGGCATGAATAGTCTTCCACTGATCTAGTTTTGGTTTCATATTCATACTTTTGAAGCCACCCAGAGGTTTTGAATTATCTAGTACCAGAGTAAGAAGCTACTCCGTAGTCTTTAATATTGGGATAGTTTGTGAACGGTCCACTTGCTCTGATGCCGTGCCATACGGAGAGACAACAAAGTGAGGGAGACAGAAGTGTGGCAGAGTTGAGTTACGTAAGCGCTTTGAATGATGGGTTCAAAGTAATTCCACACGGTGTGCCACGGCCGCCCTTGTTCTTTGAGCGGGAAAAGGCATTTGTGACCGCAGTCATGCTTAAAAACTGCAAGACCTGTTTGTCAGAACTCTGGCAGCTCTGCTCTGTGAATTGAACCACTCCCTCCCCAAGAGCTGAAGATATTCTGGCTTATTCTCGTGGGTTCTTCAGAGTTTTTTTCTTTATCTCGTTGTCTGTTTGTGATTTTTGATTGTTCTCATTAATTGCTAAACAGTTGTTTCTAGTTGTCTCTGTAACTCTGAAAATGATTTTAATGAGTATTTTAATGGGTTGTTATCGACTTCAAAGGTCGTTGCTTTAGGCTCAAAGCTTTCAGGTTTTTGTTGTTGTTGTTGCTTTCAGTTCGAGTTTAGCATGTGTTTCGTCCCTGTGAATAAGAAGGCTTACTAACACTCATTCATTTGATGCAGCAAAGAGTCCAGATTGATGTAGTTAAATTCCCACTCATTCTTCAGTGACTTGTTAGTACGGCTGGGCGATATGGCCAAAAATATTATCACGATCAAATTTTTCATATCAGTCGATATTGAGAATTATCACAATAAATTTCAAATCTTTATTTCTTTCAGGTTTAAAGGCAGATTTTTGCTCCTAAGTGAAAGTTGTAGAAACAAGACTTGTGGTTTTAAACTACTCTTTATGGTCAGAGCGTGACAAACACTTCACGCTTTTGAATTCTTTACACTTTTCCAGTAATTTTTCCTTAACAAAATAAATATCTTAATAGACAAAAATAATTCCTTAGTTTCTGCATGTTCTAATGAGTGATATTGTTTCAAATCATGAAACAGGCTTGTTGACTTTGACACGTATCCTCAGTTTGCAGTGCAGCCTGCAATAATAATAATAATAATATTAAATTTTTTAGTCTCTTAGAAATGCACATTTGACAGTAGCTTGAGTTGACAGTAGTAGTAGCTCGAGTTAGGATGCAGATGCAAATTTATGTTCATTATCAAAAACAGTAACATCTGTTAAAATTGTAACAATCTCATTTTAATATGGTGAAATTTAACTATTCTGACTGTTTGAGTTTCATTAAAATTAACCATTGGTCTTCCATAGTAGCACACATTTAGATCATGATAACCACAGTTAAAACCACACATCGCACCTCAATACCATGGTAAAAATGTAACTGTAACTATAGTTTCTAGGTGTTTGTATGAAAAACAGTAGTCTAAATACATTTAGTATAAATGCATAAACACTATAGCTTAATCACAAAATATACTGTAATTATATTCCATTAATCCTTTTATACATTTAATACATATCTAAATTAATAATATAATAAAATTTGATATGAATATCCAACATTTCAGCCACAGTACCATGGTGCAGTTTGTGTTGCTACAGTAAATCCATGATAAATGATGGAGATCTTCTGACTGTATCTTTGTGCAGATTTTCTCCTGTTTGTCAGTGCTGTTACATCTGGCTTTAAGCTAGTTTAAATCACTAGTTTAAATAAACATTATATTTAACATTTATCAAACTCTTGGTATGGTTTTATCGAGGAAAATCATATTGTGATAATTATCGTTATCATATCGTTATCGTTAGTGGTGCATCACTTTTACTTTTTCTCATACTTAAAGTTAGGTATTTAAACAAACCCCCGAGTGTTTAACTTTGTAAATATATAATATTAACTTGTCCTGCACATTTGTAACAATGATTTTTACATTTACATTTAGGCAGCTGCTTTTACCAAAGCAACTTACATTGCATTCATGCCCTACATTTTACCAGTTCATGCATACCCTGGAAACTGAACCCATGACTTTGGCGTTGTTAGCGCCATGCTTTAATGTTTGAGCCACAGGAATGCATTCCTCCAGTCACACTGCTTGTTGAGGAGCATGCTTTTATTTTTCTAAGCAATCAAACTTACAGTTTTTATCAGGTACCACTCAGAACATTGTGGGCACATACACACTGCAAAGTCTAAGAAGTGAATCCTGCAAATTATCTTTTGTTCGGTGTGTACAGAGTCAATTCTGAAACTGACGATTGAAAATCTTAATAATGTTCTGGTATCTTGCTTCCATGAATGATAAATAAGAATGCAAACCAATATTTGCATATTAATCCAATGTTTAACCAATATTTGTGACCGAAATAATATTAGTGACTGAAGAGGCATTATTTCTGGCAAATTTAAAGGGGCTCTGAAATGCATTTTCAGATCTTTATATTATTTCTGGAGGTTAGCATATATTTAGCAAAGATATTGGCACCATGGACCATATAAAAACATTGACGTAGTGTCCGTGACGTCACCCGTAGGTTCCTGAAGAGCGTTTTTGAAGCTCAAAGTGGGCGGAGCCGGCCGTCGCCATCTTGGCAGCGTGTCACCGTGATTCACTCCCGGATAATCGAAAAGCTGGTTGCTGAAACCACGCCCACCTAGCTCGACGGTGGTGACAGCAGCGGCAATCCATCTGTCACTCAAGTGGCCACGCCCTTAATTATGCAGAACTTTAAGGCTTAATAAAATTTAAACGGATGACATATAAAAAAATTCTCCCCCCTCACAGTTGTTATGAAGGGCAAAATTAGCTATATAGACCAAAAGCATTTTTTGAACCAGGCTATAAACATGTTTTTTTCTGCTGTAAAGTTGGGCATTTTAACATGGGGAGTCTATAGGATTGACTCCCTTTTGTAGCCAGCCTCTAGCGGCCAGTTGACGAATTACAGTTTAAGTCACTTCCGTGTTGGCTTCACGAGTGAGAGCGGGAGGTTGCCACTTGATTGGCACCAAAAATGTTTTGACCACTTTATGTAAACCACCATTTTATTGCTTCTTGTTTAAACATCTGCTTTAAAACAGTGTGCTGTTTTTGGCAGTGTTGGCATCTCTGCTTATTATTAGCATCTTTAGGATTGTTTTTTTTTATTATTTTTTTTTTATAAATATGGGCAGTCGTGGGTTTTGGCCTTATTTAGGCTTATTTCTGAGGCAAATTGCTTATTTTGAGCATATTTTGTTGGACCCAGCCTGATCTGGCAACACTGTCTTGAGTCAAAATGTGTGAATAAAGAAAAATAAAAAAAATAAAAATGACTTAAAGCACATAAAATAACAAAAACTATATTTAAAATTTTAAATGAAAACTGAAAACAAAAATAAATGCTAATTCAAAGCATTAATAAGTACTACAATAGTATATAAAAATACTAAAATAACACTGGCTGCACTCAGAACAGCTTGGCAACCACATGGCAACGCCATGAAACCCACGTACAACGCCCTAGTAATATGATGACAGGTTTTTTTTATAGCCATATGCTACTCACATTTTCTCAAAATAAATAAATAAAAAATTAAATCTTCCTAAACTCTAAACTACAATATGCATTTAATCTAAATAAACAGAGACTCTAAATAAACATTTGCTCGCTAGGATTTTCTCTAAATGTCTAAAGCATTTCATTTTCATGCCTCTCTAATTCTGCTGAGTGAGAGAATGTTATGAGGAAGGATTTAAAGCCCAAATTTGCTTTCACTCTGATTTTTTTCCTTTTAGTGCCAGATGTCCCTCACAGTGTTGGCTTGTTTTGCTCTCATCGATTCAGCCATGTCTGCCAAGATTAGACTCTCTCACAGGCTCGCTAGCCAACCTGACTCTAACCAACTTCCTCCTAACCCATGTAGTTGCCTTCGAGCCATATATATCATGCCAGATGCCTTGATCTTGCTTTGTCTGTATTTCTGGAATGATGTCCAATTGGAGAAAGAGCACCGCTCGGGTCGAGTGTGAAATGTCAGAGAGAAAAGGTTAGCTCACCCACGCCATCCTGGAGCTTCTGAGACGAAGGTGCTGTCACAGCCACCCTGTCTCTCCACAACGCTTCAGCAGCCACAGGCTAATTCGATTTTAGAAAGGATCCCTCGTAATCCAAGCCGTCTGGCTCGTGTCATCATCGCTTACCCCCTCCCCAGGTCGAGGATCAACAACAGAATTCATACAATGTCACGCCAGGAATTTCATACATGTGATGGCGGTTATCGATGCGTACAGTCTTATTGAAGTGTGTTTGAATGAGGTGGCCTAAGACGGTTTTTCTGTGGCCTGGCTTTGGCTGCTCATTGGTTGGATGTTCTGTGTTGTGTCATCATGGTTAGGGTCACGGGGTGGGCTGGTGGTTGAAAGGTTGGCATGAAGAGCTCAGTCTCTTATTACTGCAGCAGAACTGATGACTAGGTTTTCCAGGCCTTAGCAGATGTTGAACAGAAAAAGACTGCCCTGCTTTCTGTCTTGTAAATCCACCCCTCCCCCCGTTTGGATGTGAGAGTCTTGGCACAGATGGACATGACGAGGCAGCATTGTCAACATCAGCTTGAGTTGAAGAAACAATGTTTACTCAAGGAGTTCTTCAGCTGGGCTGTTTAACTTTTGCTAGAGTGTTGAGTGGATTTGGACAGCACAAGTAAGTTTTTAAAAGGGTTGTATCGAGAAATCAAATTAGATCAAATTAGTTTTTTTGCAGTATGAAACATGATATCTACACTTTTTCAGTCTTAAAAGATCTATCAATCTGCGGTAACTAAGCTGCAAAATAGAGATTGAAATCAGTTTTGCCTGCCTGGTCTTCAGAAACATTGTCCTTCTAAGTCAAAGTAAGGTTAACAAGATGAGCATGATAGATTCAGTTATTCTTAAAGTTGGCATGAGATGAAATTCACCCTATCTGTTTTGTAAATACATATTATAGATCTCACTGTGAATGATTCATCTACAATATGTTTATTTATTTATTTTTTGACCTCGTAATGTTTAATCAAAATGTGATAACTCCATCTTCTGGTGAAAGACAGATTAAAATTTCCTCTTGATTTGTCACAAAGATATTGTTTTCTAGCTGGCTTAGTATAGATGACGTTTGTTCAAACTGCAAAAAGGCTTTCCAAGATGACCATTGTTTTCCAACATAATTAACTCACTGAGTTACATTTATACTCTACCATTCAATAGTTTGGGATCAATACGATTTTTTTGTTTTGTTTTATTTTGAAGTTAGTACTTTTGTTCAGCAAGGATGCTTTAATCAAAAGTGAAAGTAAAGGCATTTATAATTTTGCAAAAGATTTCTATTTCAAATTAATGCTCGAAAGAAAACAATTGAAGTCATGAACTGCATTTTTTATTATTTTATAATGTTCTCTGAGGTTCACTTATAATGTTAGTGTGATTTTTACATATAAAACATCATAATTTAGAAGTAATAGGCTATTTTCTATCCTGTTTTTGAGCCTCTCTGCAGAATGGTCTGTTTTTATAGGTGGGGCGCATTCAAGACTCGCAAATAAATGCCCACTGCTGTGATTGGCTAACCGTTTCGCTTATTAAAATAACAGATGGGCGCTGCTGTGACGTAAGTTACTCTGAAAACAACATGGGTGATTTGGGTTAAAAATTTATAAATACTCAGTATATATCAAACGGTCAGGAACAGACAATGCAATAGTGGTAAAAGCACGTTTACTCACACTTGTGTTGCGACATACTGTTGGATCCACTCTAGTAAGACTCAGCAGTGCATCATAGTTTACTTTCAGTCTCTCTGAAAAGCCTGCATCATGCTGTCTTGATTACCAGCAGTATACCATACCAACAGTATGGCCGGCAGCCATATCACCCTGTATAGCCCAAGACTGGTTACCCACTGAAGCTAAGCAGGGTTGAGCCTGGTCAGTACCTGGATGGGAGACCTCCTGGGAAAACTAGGTTGCTGATCATCATGGCCTCCTAACCATCCCCACATCTACTGATTGGCTTCATCACTCTGTCTCCTCTCCACTAAGCTGGTGTGTGGTGGCCGTTCTGGCGCACTATGGCTGCTGTCGCATCATCCAGGTGGATGCTGCACACTGGTGGTGGATGAGGAGATATCCCCTGACAATGTAAAGCGCTTTGAGTGCCTAGAAAAGCGCTATATAAATGTAACAAATTAACTGATTAAAAATAAATTTCCGTAGCAAAGTAAAGCAAACAAACAGTGTTTCACTGACGCGATCTGGAGCTCTTTGCTCATTTTACCCCGTGTTTACACCGGACACGAGCGGCGCAACGCGACTATAGACAACAGAACCCATTATAATCGTCGATTCTGTCACTGGATGCGGCACGGATAGACACAACAAATCCCCAACAGTAAACTGACGTCCCACTCTATTTCTGACATACAAGCATTCGCGCCGCTTCTGACCTGAAAGAGAAACTGACTGACTCAACAGCACTCACGTAGATATGTTAGGATCACAAGGAAGGCTATTCAAAGACTGTTTTTCACAACGTACACTACACTGTGTCTTGTAATCGTGTAATGCCATCTGTTATGGTTCTGTTGATGGAGTAATCCTTTGTTTGCATCTCTCTAGTATTTCCTCTCTACTACAAGTGTGTATCAGTGGGCGGAGCTAAACAGGCAGTGCTGTAGAAGCAGGCGTTGATCTCCTGCGGAGGCGGTGCTTAGCCACACTATTACGTCATAAAGTGGCACATTCCACAACCTGTCGTTTTCTGTGCTTGGTTTCAATAAAAGCTGTTTTTAAACTAATGAGAACATTTTGAGTTTTGAAAATTGCAGGATGTTTTTATAGCACATTGACCTGTTATATTGTTAAAAGATCAAGGGAAATTTGATTTCTCAGCTCATGAACCCTTTGATCAAAATTCTGAATATTTCTTTCAAATATTAAAATACAGTAAAAATCAAAACTAGATAGAGGGTGGAAAATTATCTCGAGAAATTAAAATGTTTTTGTATGCCTTATATATAAATAAGGTTTGAAGCATATGTGATTGTGACATTTACCTGTGAAAGCTTTGGAGGATTTCCTTGACTGAACTACGCTGAGAGCTCTCCATATGGAACGATGTACCTTTCTCCTCCCCCTGACAACAGCTGGAGAAGGTGAGTCCTGCCCTTAAAACTATTATGACCGATATAGTCCTACACACACCCATCCACCGCCAACAAATATGTGTCTGTGCATTCATTACATACATTGTTACATTCTACTTCAAGTAGTATTTGATCATATCTCCTGTCAGTTGCAGGGCAGAGTGCAGAGATTATGTTATCTTGAAATGAAGCCATTGCAGTGACATCAAGTGGTGTTGAGAGGTCATGTCACATTAGAGCGAGTGTTAATGTGTGTTTTGCATTTGCATAGGCTATCCCCACAGATGCCTGAAAAGAAAACAGTAATGGCACATTTGTTTTGTTAGCATGTGGAAAATCCGCATCCACAGTGATGATAGATAACACTGGCAAAAGGTTAGATAAAACAAAAGTGTTCAAAGAGACATACACACATCATTTAGTCGTTCTCAACTCCTTTCTCTGACCATAAATGCTCACACGTTTGCTCTACACAAATGTCACTCTTCTCGGTTCAGCCGTGGTGAGGCATAACCATTGGATGGTTTTCCTCATTTGTTTACCGAGAAGTGAATTGCAGCCAGTAATAAAAGGCTTAAGGAAGCTTCTCCTCATCATAGTTGTGTTTTGAATGCAGGCTTGGCCGACGGCCAGTATGCCTTCTTACCTACAATCTGCTTCAGCCTCCATATTGACTCTGCGACTTGTAAAACTTTCAGAGTCCACGCCCTGTGGCATTGTTTACAACTGAAAACTGGTTGGCCTGATCAGTTTTATCACAGCCAACTATTCCCACTGTGGCGAAACACTGCTGTGACAGCCATATGCCATAGAGCGGCTAACTACACACTAGATCCAGGGCTTTATCTTACGTACTTTATTGCTGTTAGATTGAAATATGAAATTAAATTACAGTTAAAACATTGATGAAGTTTGGAATAATTAAGATTTTGTAATGTTTTTGAAAGAGGTCTCTGAGGCTCATCAAGGCTGCATTTATTGTAAATTACAAAAAAGTTATTTATTCCTGTGATGGCAAAGCTGAATGAATGATGGCACAGTCTTCAGTGTCAAATGATATTTCAGAAATAATTCTAATATGCTGTTTTGCTGCTCTATTAATGTTAAAAACAATTTTAGCTGCTCAATGCGTGGAAATCGTGATACACTAGCATTCAAAAGTTTGAGGTAAGCAAGATTTAAAAAAAAAAATAGAAATGAATGCTTTTATTCAGCAAGGCTGCAGTAAATTGATCAAAAGTGGCATTTATAATGTTTAAAAAGATTCCATTTCAAATAAATGCTGAAAATGTTCTTTTGATCTTTCTATTTATAAAAAAAAAATTCACAGAAATATTAAGCAGCAGTTTTAACATTGATATGAACCATTATTAATTAATAACTTCGCATCAATTATAACAGATGATAGCTGAGCACCAAATCAGCATATTAGAATGATTTCTGAAGGATCATGTGACACTGAAGACTGATGAAATTGCTGCCATAACAGTAGAATTAGAATTTATTTTAAAGGTCCCATATTGTCAACACTGAAATTTCCTGGCTTTTTTCATGATAACTGAGGTCTAGGTGCTATGTAACTACCATATAAGTTTCAAAACAGTCAGTCCACAGATGGTTTTTGGTACTTATACCGCAAATATATATTCTTAAGGACATCAAAACCTAAAATAAAACTCCAGAAAGGTGTAAAATATGGGACCTTTAAAGTATAACAATATTTCACAATATCATGCTTTTTACAGTATTTTTGATCAAATTAATGCAGCCTTGGTGAGCATAAATATTAAAGAAACATTGTAATTATTCCAAACTTTTGACCGGTAATGTAGTTATGTATAGAAGCAGATATGGGGGTAGCAGAGGATAATACTCTCATGTGGAGTTTAGTTGAATATATGATCTTAGGCCAACTTTTAGAGCTTCATTATAAATGCATAACCAGTGAGCGGTTCACTCCACTTCAAGGGCTGTCTCAGAGGCATCCCATAAATTATGAAATACAGCATTCAGAGGATCAAGCACAGTTACATCTTCACCACTACAATGTATATTTCTGAATTTCTTTTACATTGCTTTCTTGTTAAAGCTTTTTAATTAAATCCAGTTTTCTTCTCATCTTCAGGAGTGTTGTAATTGTGTGTTCAGATTGTGTCCTGGTGAAGCCTGAATACTAACCACAGCATTTCTCTCTGATTCTAACCGTCTCCTTTTCTTCCTCAAGGATGAATGTTCAGCTATTTCTCAAATCTATTCTCAGTGTAAACAGCACTAACTAAACCTGCCAGATCTTTTGCTAGCTACCCCTCAGACCCACCCCCCCCTCCTCCCCCAGAACAGATCGTGAGCTCAGCGTGTTTGTGAGCCCCCTCCCTCTTTGCTCTGGGCCAGATTAGCATTCACTAATGACCGTAGTCCATGTTTTGGTTTGTTTTTTTGTTTTATTCCGCTGTGCCCATTTTACCTTGCACAGATATATGTGATTGAATTGTGGGTGTGCTGCTGCATGTCTTTTTTTCTTTTGGGATCTTGCGCTCTAATATCATCTCAAACGAAGGGCCGAACAGATGTTTTCTGTCTGCGCGGACATTAGAGGTTAAGCTAGATTTTCAGCGAGCAATCACAAATGATTTTGGCATTTTTAATGATGCTGGTGGTGTTTGTGAAGTCTGCCGTTTGTTGTCTGACAATGTGACACGTCACAGAAAACATGCTGATTCACTAGTTTTTGGTTTGTGCAGTTGTAAAATGGCTTAAGGGACGTCTGCTTGGATGTTTGTGATGCTTTAACGCATGTAAAGAAGGGGCATAGGGAACTAGTTACTGCTTTGCTCAAGGGAGAAATCAAGGCCAGTTGGCAACACATCATTGATTATGGTTTTAGGGGCAGTGTTCTTGAAGGTTCAGTGGGACTTTCCATGACAAGAGTATAAAATGGGGCCTTAAAAATGCTAGATTATTTTTGTTTTCCATGTTAGTGGATGTTTAACTTTCAGAAAATGTCCTCAAGAGGTTAAACTAATGATATGAGCATTATATTCTGAGAAACTTTTTTTCTTAATAATTTGTTAACAGGGTTAAATTACTTTTCCAGTTGTTCATAATTTACTGGATAAGGATTAAGGATAACAGTATTTTTACTAAATTTCTACCCAGTAAAATATTTTAGAACT